TCGGGAGTCGATTTCTGACATAAATCGCGGCCATCACAGCCTCGCCCCAGTATTCTTTCGGTGCGCTCACGGCATGAAGAAGGGCGCGAGTGGTACCTATAACTGTCCTATTTGCTCTTTCGCTCATTCCATTCGACTGTGGGGTATATGGAGTAGTTCTCTGTGCCTCAATCCCCTCTTGCTGCAAGAGATGGCAGAACTCATTCGAGGTGTACTCCCCTCCTCCATCAGTCCTTAATTTCTTGATAAACTTCCCGTGATGTTTCTTCACCTTTACCTTGTATTCCTTGAAATAGCGTAGAGCTTCCGACTTCCGCTTGATAAGGTAACCGATCTTGTAGCGTGTAAAGTCATCTGTGAACATCAGCAAATAAACTGCTCCTCCAAGCGATGTTGGTGTGACAGGTCCAGTTATGTCGCTATGAATCAATTCTAATGGCTGGTGTGCATGCGAGCTGGCAGACAAGGGTGGGAAAGGTTTCCGAACCATTTTTCCATAAACACAACCGCTACAGACGCAACGCGGCACTGGGGGTAAGCGGGGAATCTCATTCTCTTCCATAGATAGTTTCCGAACTGCATCTGTCCCCAAGTGACCCAATCGGAAGTGCCAGAGTGCGGTCTGCCTCTCCGCTGACATCCCATCATCGACTGTGTTTACCAGCGTTACAACTGATTTCTCTGACTTCTCTTTCTGGTTTGCATTAAGGACATACAGACCATCAATTTCTTCTAGGCTAACGATAAATCCATCTCGCCGATTCAGCGTAGCTCCCCCTTTTTGTCCAAAGTTGACAAGGTAGCCAGACTTGCGAAGCTGGGACACAGAAAGCAGACTGTTCCTCCCACATTCCGGCACGTATAGTACGCCAGAAACAACAAAGCTCTTTTGCCGCTTGACTGTCTCATCCCACACAAGTAGCGTCACATCACCCTCACCACGGGCATCGATCTCGGTGTTATTCGCAACACGAATTCTGTGCTCACCAGGTGAAATGGGTCGATAGTCGGAAAAGTGTTCTCGAACTCCAGTAACGTGTGTGCTGCACCCGCTGTCCAGAAGCCAGCATCCAGGTACCGCTGGAAATTGTGTAGACGTAAAAGCCGTAAATATCCCCTGCGTCTTGGGCTCCTTCGTGGGTAGGTCTGCCGTCACTAAGACATTTGCATTATCTCTGGTAATGCCTTTAGCTCGGTCCGCCTTAAGCTTCCTGCAATT